CTCTATAGACTGTAAAACAACACCAGTGTGTCCCATTGCCCACTAATCATCGCCTTTGTTCTGGTGTCCACACGATTCAAGAAGTGACCACTTGAGCCTTTAGATTCAGGAAAAAGAGGTTTTATATGGCACTTATATAGATTCAAACTTACCCAATATATAATATCCTCAAGATGGGTTTGGGGTCAGATCTTTGAAAGAAGATTTTTCTTGTTGGGGCTAATTCTTACAGCTCATCTTTGATCTTAGAAATGTTACCCCGAGCTGTGTTCAATGTGGACTGGAATACTACTATTAAATATCACTGTATGCAAATTGCCAGCTGGAGGATGGATGGACATATGCTAGTTATTTTACAACATTGTTTTTGCTTGAATGATGATTGCCTAGAATAGAACATCTTTATTGTCTCCTCTTTGGCTTTCAATTACACACACATTCCAAGACAAGCATACATATGATACAAAGAACATTGGTAGATAAATACGTATTAGCTTTAGATTAGCATACAGTTAATCAACCAAGGTCAAGGTTAGTCATTTCACTAGGTTATCGCATGAGTTTGTGCGTTGACACGTTTGCAATCTCACTCCTTGCCGGTGGGGGTGTACCCGGAAAGAGAATTACCCACTGCTGTTGTATATCGCCTTCTTACCCCTCGAAAACGGCTTAACAGGATGGTCCAAAAGTCGGCTCTTCACCAAACGCTATGTTCCAGATGCGTGTCAATGCTGAGGGGAGTATTTTTATTGGAACTGCCAGTTTAGCCGCTGTGGATTTTTGAATGCACTTGTTAAATAAATGGGGCTCATGCCAGCCAACACATGCACAAACACGTTTTTTCACATTATCCTGCACAGTGACCATTTTGAAAAAGCCCGTACAGAAAGTAAAAGTGGTGGCACATTATGTTCAACGACGGAGATAGATGTGACTACGTCCAATAATATTTACAGTCTATGGTTGTATATTTATCTCAGAAATATAACAGTATTCTTAACTGTTTGTATATGATGGAAAGACAGGCCTACTGTATGTGCACTCATCAATTGCCCTGCACTGCTGAGCTGCTTGTTTATGACCACTTGACTTTCGCCGTCAGTGTTGAGCCAGAGCCAGAGCCCGGCAGGTGTTGGAGGCAGGTGTGTATTTCCTCATCTGACATTTTCCCACAGGCAAACATTTGACAAAAAAATCAAGAGGTGGCCTTTTAACGCCGCCTCCCTCTCTAATTTCCACCCCTCAGAATATACCAGAGGATTAGCGGCTACTGGCACGTCCAAATATCCTCATCACCACTGCAGGCTGTACTTGTCAGGGCAGCTTAGAGTCACCCCCACCCACTGAACACAACTGTCCCCCTGCATTAAAATCCAAATCTAACCCTCGGCTCCAGGCCCAAACACACACCGGGCTTAACCTGTCCACTCTCAACTTTGACCAAAATAAGCTGATGATGAAAAGTGGACTTTAAAAAATGTGATTGTGTAGTCCAAGTTTAATATCATGGTGCTACTGCGACAAAATACCTGGACAGAGGTAGAGCAGGATTACTACTGCAACAACACTCTCATCAGTAGGGTAAAAGTAACCTGTCTCTCCCAGCTCATGTTCCCTATTAGTGGGTGAACAATCCAATGATTGGTGAATTTTACTTGATGGTGATAGGAAAAGCCGACATCGAAGGATCAAAAAGCGAAGTCACGATGAACGCGGCGCCGCCAAAAATCAAAGTTCTCAATTTACCAGTCGATCTTCGTTACCTCTCTCACCTATGGTCATGAGCTTTGGGCAATGACCAAAAGGATGAGATCGCGATTACAAGGGGTTGAAATTAGCTTTCTCCGCAGAGTGGCTGGGCCCTTACAGATAGGGAGCTCAGTCACGCGGAAGGAGCTCGGAGTAGAGGCGTTGCTTCCCCACGTTGAGAGGAACCACTTGAGGTGGCTCCGTATGCCTCCTGGACGCCTTCCTGCAGAGGTGGGCATGTCCCACCGGGAGGAGACCAAAGGAAGAGCCAGGACTTGGTTGGAGGTGCTATGTCTCTCAGCCAAGGAACACCTTGTGGTCCCCTCGGATGAGCTGGAGAAAGTCTGTGTGGATAGGGAAGTCGAGGCGAGTCTGCTGGACCTGCTGTCCCAGCGACCCAGCAATGGATAAATGGATGATGGATGGACTCCCAAAGCAGTCAATTTGACTGCTTTTTATGATTCTCTCCGTTTATGTACGTTTTTGGTCATCATAACTTGACTTTTTTCTGTTTTTATTTGATGTTTCTTTCACTGTAATTATGTTTATGGAATTCTGGGAGTCCTATTGTAAATATAAGACCCCATAGACTTCTACCTATGACCCAGTCTGCTTTCTCAGATCCTCAGACCTGCTGTTCCTTGTGTAAAACTCCCATATTGGCAACTTTTTGGCTGAGTGGTTAGCACTATTGTGTCCTGGGTTTGTAGGTTTCCCCTACCACTAAATAAACATGTATAATAAAGTAATATTACAAATACTGATATAATTGCACTTAGCTTTTGAGTCGTCTTACTTTTAAAGGGAGAAATAACAGAAAGTGTGGGGAGAATCTTACACAAGAGGAAATAATTGTGTGAAATGTTATGTTGTAAATAACTGCCCACCCCTGAGACAGCTGTATGTGGCTCATGCATTTGCACATTTACAAACACAATTGCCGTATTTTGCTCTCTCTATGCGCCATTCATTGGAAACCTCCCATATTCTCCCTCTATCTACCATACCATCTTCATGCCTTTTATCTCTTGCCCTGTGAGGGAGATTAGTGCTGTGGACAGGTCCAATAGTCTCAAAAACAGCAGGTTGGCCGATGTCCGGGGCTTAATTTGCAGCAGCTGACTCCTTCTCTTCTCTCTCATGGGTCCAATGCATCCCATATGTTGCTTGCCCGGCTTCTCACACTCACATCTGCCACTGAACCTGCCAGAACTGTACGTGCTCGTCAATGCCCCCTCTCAATATCTTTGCTTAGTTATATTATGAGTTCAAAAATGTCTGCAATGTAGCCTCAAGGTGTTTGTTTGAAATGTGATTGGTCAAGCTTGTTGCCGTACAGGAAGCTTTGTAGGTTCAGGACCAAAACAAAAGTTATATTTCCACTTTGACCGTCATCTTCTGGTCTTCATTATGCTGTTGTTTTGTGCTCTGTGTCAGAATTGTCTTTGCACAAAATGAAGGTGATGGATTTTTAAAACTCTTCTTCCTGGTTCTTGGGAAAATTGTGTGTATTTTGAGCTGCAGACACATAACAGCAGGCCAAAGTCATCGTGATAGCTGCTTCTACAGTATGTATTATGTGTATTTCTGTTTTATATGATAGAAAACACATGTTGAACCATGTTGTTTCTGTCTGTAGATTTAAAGACCAAGGTAAATACAAAGTGAATAAACTAGTAAAAAAATGCATGCATGTATGGGGGTCACATAGCCCTGCTTTAAGATATTGGGCATATTGTACTTGAAGAAGGGAGTTGGTGTGAGTAAATGAAAAGATATTTTGTATTTTATATAATATCACACAAACTGTGACGTATATAATGTCACAGTGTGTATTTGAGTATTTGGATATTTTGTTTTTTATTTTATAAATTCAGTTTGACTTCCTATTCTGTTGATTGTCAGCCCCACCCTTGTCAATTTAAAATAGTAAACAGTCCGAAATAGACACTGCAAGAGCACCATCAGAGACCTCTCTGCCTAAAAAAAAAAAACAACACTTCACAACAAGAAGGTCCTGGGTTCCATTTTGTGTGGGTTTTTTATGCCCTATGCTGCTCAAAAGAATTTCCCCTGGTGGTATAAATTAAATAGTTGTAATATAATAAGCCTACACAGACATGAAGGGAACATGCCAACTCCACACAGAAATCCCCTGGAGGTGGAATTGAGACAAAAACCTTATTGCGAACACATCCAAGGTTGCTTTTACATTAGCCTGGCCTTTGCCATCCGTACACTGCGGTCAACCACCATTCCCTGCATGAAACGTCTGGGTCTAGTCCCAGTGTCTGCAATTACATTGGTTGAATTCCATCTGACCAATCAGCAAGCGCGGGAGGCGGGTGTTGTAGTTAGTTGTGGGTGACGTCAAGAACAAAGTCTGGAACAAAGGGGCAGGTTGTAGTTTGGCAATCGCAAAGAATGCAATAGTAAAGTAATTCGTTCTGGTTCTATCAAGAACTTGAAGCCGGAGCAAGAGGAATGTTTAGCGAATGTCATGGCTGGCAGAGATTGTGGCGCTACTCCCCACGGGCTCCGTTAGCAGCAAAGGAGATGGCTAGGCTAAATGCTAAATGCAAACTACACACTCGGGCGCATTGCATATGTCACGGTAAACTCATATCCAATCGTTTCAATCTACAAAAGGAGTTAACCCCTCCCACCTGTTAACGAAGCTCAATGGAGCACCTTGATACGAAATGTAATTCGTACTATGGTGTGGTACGATCAGGCTATTTTTACATAAATTCTGCATTCTCTTTTTTCTCAATGCATCTGAAAGAGCAATTGAAACCACATTGCCATTGTCAGTTTTTACTGTCTTTGTCCAACGGATACTTTAGCACATACATGACCTTCCCTCATGTCCAGCAGATCCTACAAATTTACAGTTGCCTCAGTGAAGTATGCAGCCATCAGGCCTCATATCGGGCTGTGAGTGCTGGTCTGGAGCGGCCTATAAAGACCCGCAATAGGCCTTTGGGGAATGACATCTAATGCACTTTTCATTAACTCTTTTGACATGCTGTTGTTTTATTTATGGCCGCCATCATGTGAAAGCGTTCGTTTGACGTCTTCTTCCATTGGATCGGGCAGATGTCTGCGTGTGCAATGCATTGTGGGGTGTGTGGTGTCAGGACCAATGATTTTAAAAAGTCAGATTCACACTCTTTATATTGGTGCGGTGAACAGTTACAGATGTTGCAAGACACATGGTGGCTCTTATTTTACACCTCAAGATATCAGCGATGGAAGAAGGAATTCCTGCAGCCGTCACAGCACAGCGGTGAGAACTCGGGCCTCTCTCACAGCGAGACGGTGAATGTGGACTTTATTTATCCCCGTAGGGATCTTTGTCCTCTGTATTTGGCCCATCCTGATGCCACTCTGGCGTCTGTCAGGAACAGTGGTTGTTGTAGTACAGCATCCAGGAACTCATCTCCAGACATTGATGATCTGCTTGATCAGGACCAGAGCCGGAGGATTTAATCTATTGTGCATGTTTTAGTGGTAGGGCCGACAAAGCCGCCATGCCGCCCAAGGTGCCGAAGATTTTATTCCCATGGGCCCTTTGGGGAGTTTGCATGTTCTCCCAGTGTCTGCAAAGCTTCCCTCCAGGTGCTCCAGCTTTCTCTACCACTAAAACATGTGCAATAGTTCAGAGTGAATGTGTGTGTGTTTGTGAGTGCAGCTGCACGACAACAGATGGAAAATAGCCCATGGTACAGTAATTACACCAAGTATTTATTAATGCACACTGTCCCATCCAAATAAACATATGCACAAATATCCAACTGAAAATAAAAGTGTGCAAATTGCATGTTTATAGTCCAGTGTGGGGTCAGTGGTTCAGGAGCTCACGGTGGAAAATCCAGAGAACCACTTTGAAAGAGCTTTTTCTGTAACCAAGACATCAAGAAACCTTTCTTTGTTAAAAGTGCATAATGATCTAATGACTCTGGCTTGAACTCATGATGACAGGTATGTTGAAAAAGCAACTTTTACATTAAATTATTATCACTAAGCTTCCAAGGGGAACAGTGGCTGAGTGGATAGCATTCTCACTTTTCAGCAAGAAGCTCCTGGGTTCAAATCTCAGTCGGAACAGGGTCTTTCTGAGTGGAGTGCTATCGACTCAACCACCGTGCCACCTGATGTTCTCCCTGTGTCTGCGTAGGTTTCCTCCGGGTGCACTGGTTTCCCCTACCACTAAAGACATGTACAATAGGTCTGGCATATGCCTCCTGTATGGGGACCTCACGCCCTTCTCTGTGTCGAGTGAGAGACAAATGCCCATAACAATTGTAAAGCGCTTTATGACTCTGGTCTGTGGAAGGTACTATATAAATAAGGATTACATACTTACTTTATTAAAAAACATGAGACTGGAGTTTGACCGCTGTTTTTAGCAGTGATAAACCTGTTTAAAACACTTTGCAAACGCATTACATATATCGTCACATATTTCAATACAACAGACAAACAACAAGTAAATGGTTCAAAAAGGGGTCAAACCTTACTTCCTGTCCTCAGTTTCAAAACAGTAACAATCAGAACCAGGACTTTAAAAAAAAACATACATGTCCAAACATTGTCATAATGTTGAGGGATCTGTCTGAACTTTGATCCACATTCACAGAAAGGCCTGAACTTGCTTCCATTTATTCACACCACGTTTTGAGGCTCCTCTGGGTCTCTGTGATCACCAGCATTTTACTGCCGTGCGTGCTTCCCTGGTTGGGTCAGATGTTTGGGCTTTGACTGGTCCGAGGCGTGCGTGTGAGTCCCGGCTCCTCCCTGTGTTTCACCATGAGATATCCACATCAGAATACAGGGGCCCTCTTTAACCAGATGGTCCGTCCATTACTTCGCCAAAGCCAGGGGCCGTGCGGGACACTGGCTACGGAGCATGTGGGGCCCTCCTGCTAATGAAATGTTGACATGAGGTGTAATGAGGAGGAATGCGCTTCTGTTTCATATCGAGGCCAGATTTGTTTATTTCGGACAACTTCGGTTACATGGGAAAGGAGTGATGGGAATGAAAAAGTCTGATAAGTATTTCTTGTGAATAACGTTTGTGGTGTTTGTTTCTGTAATCATCCTCGGGTATTTACAAAGCCACAATGTTGCATAAAGAAATATCAATGTTTTTCAATCTGTTTTTTGTTTGTTTTTTGCTGACATGCTGGACAATAGAGTTTTGTAGATGTGAAATAGTAAAGTTAGACATTAGACATTTCAGTGTTGGGGTAACAGAGCTTTCCCCAGGATTACTTATCGTAACTGTCATAAGTCACGCCCTGAGTTTGTGACCCCAAGCCCTATAGCGCTCCCCAAACATTGATAAATCCTGCCCAGTGTAGTGCCCAGGGAATTGAATGGGGTCCTATGGGGGAGGGGGGGGGGGGGGGGGGGGGAATCACCTCATGATGTCGAGGTGATTGACGAGCGCGACACGTTCCCGGAGATGAGAGCATGCATCAGAGCTGAAGAAGACTCAGACACAAACTTGTAGATGTTTGATTATGATAGAAAAACTCTGACTGCTGCATTTGTTTTAATTGTTGAAAAATACAGAATGTTCAAAGCAAATGTATGAATGCCTAGAAGCTTCCCCTGAATCATTGACCGTTATAAATCATGGTTTCACCGCCTCAGATCCACAGACTCAGACTTCCTCACTCCCTCAGATCCACGGACTCAGACCTCCTCACTCCCTCAGATCCACAGACTCAGACCTCCTCACTCCCTCAGATCCACAGACTCAGACCTCCTCACTCCCTCAGATCCACAGACTCAGACCTCCTCACTCCCTCAGATCCACAGACTCAGACCTCCTCACTCCCTCAGATCCACAGACTCAGACCTCCTCACTCCCTCAGATCCACAGACAGACCTCCTCACTCCCTCAGATCCACAGACTCAGACCTCCTCACTCCCTCAGGTCCACAGACTCAGACCTCCTCACTCCCTCAGATCCACAGACAGACCTCCTCACTCCCTCAGATCCACAGACTCAGACCTCCTCACTCCCTCAGATCCACAGACTCAGACCTCCTCACTCCCTCAGATCCACAGACAGACCTCCTCACTCCCTCAGATCCACAGACAGACCTCCTCACTCCCTCAGATCCACAGACTCAGACCTCCTCACTCCCTCAGGTCCACAGACTCAGACCTCCTCACTCCCTCAGATCCACAGACAGACCTCCTCACTCCCTCAGATCCACAGACTCAGACCTCCTCACTCCCTCAGATCCACAGACTCAGACCTCCTCACTCCCTCAGATCCACAGACAGACCTCCTCACTCCCTCAGATCCACAGACTCAGACCTCCTCACTCCCTCAGATCCACAGACTCAGACCTCCTCACTCCCTCAGATCCACAGACTCAGACCTCCTCACTCCCTCAGATCCACAGACAGACCTCCTCACTCCCTCAGGTCCACAGACTCAGACCTCCTCACTCCCTCAGATCCACAGACTCAGACCTCCTCACTCCCTCAGATCCACAGACTCAGACCTCCTCACTCCCTCAGATCCACAGACTCAGACCTCCTCTCTCCCTCAGATCCACAGACTCAGACCTCCTCTCTCCCTCAGATCCACAGACTCAGACCTCCTCTCTCCCTCAGATCCACAGATTCAGACCTCCTCACTCCCTCAGATCCACAGACTCAGACCTCCTCTCTCCCTCAGATCCACAGACTCAGACCTCCTCTCTCCCTCAGATCCACAGACTCAGACCTCCTCTCTCCCTCAGATCCACAGATTCAGACCTCCTCTCTCCCTCAGATCCACAGACTCAGACCTCCTCTCTCCCTCAGATCCACAGATTCAGACCTCCTCACTCCCTCAGATCCACAGACTCAGACCTCGTCACTCCCTCAGATCCACAGACTCAGACCTCCTCTCTCCCTCAGATCCACAGACTCAGACCTCCTCTCTCCCTCAGATCCACAGACTCAGACCTCCTCACTCCCTCAGATCCACAGACTCAGACCTCCTCTCTCCCTCAGATCCACAGACTCAGACCTCCTCTCTCCCTCAGATCCACAGACTCAGACCTCCTCTCTCCCTCAGATCCACAGACTCAGACCTCCTCACTCCCTCAGATCCACAGACTCAGACCTCGTCACTCCCTCAGGACTAAATAGGGAACTTTGGGGGACCGAACCGTCATCGCAGCTGCCCCCACTCTCTGGGGGAACTCACTCCCACATCCGAAACTGCCACTCTAGAATTTGAAATCCATAACCAGATCCTCTGCAATTGCGTTCTAAAATATCTTTTTCATATAAATGGTTACTTCCAGGTTTACCGCGATCGCTTTTTGTCGCATTAAAACAGTATTTTTGTCATGAAAACGTTTATAGATCATTCTGAAAACCTCCGTGCATGTGTATTAAGAATGTATATATAATTTACTCTCCGATAAACATGTTGTTGATTGATTGTTATTTGCCTTTATTGAGTGTGGCTAGCTCCGATAGCTTCTCTCTGCAGAGACAGTAGAAGTGACGAAGCCCGTTGTGACGAGGTGGCCGCACCTGAATTACAAGTAGAGATTGCGTTGCCATGGGCAGAGGCCATTATTGTTTTGAGAGGTCGGTTATTGGGAAATAATGACCGGTAGAATGTTTTGAAATTACATTCAAATCAATTGAGTGGAGTAGATGTAATATCAAATTACTCCACATGTAGTAACAACAGTTTGCCACAGATTTTTGATCAGTTTAACGGTTGGCATTTTGGGGTTATTTTGAGATGCAGGAAAGTTCCCATGTGGAAGTTCCCAAAGGAAACACACACTCACTAATCAAATGCATTGTAATGTTTTTGATTAATGAGTGTATCGTACGTGTCCACTGTTAATATAAAAATCATATTCTAGATCTACATCCCTATTATCACCATCTTCATGTGTTTTCATTGAGGTTCATTGAAAGAATAACAGAGCTACTAAGTGTCATACATTACATCGATATCAGTGTGTTATCAGCTGAGGGGTGAGGGAGGGAGGAGGAAAAGGAGGAGGAGAAAGAATGCAGTGGAATGTTTTGTGATGGAAGGATTCCTGAGATCACATGTAGCTGTAAGCAGTGACTACATGTGTGAAAGAGCTCTTTGTCCAGGGCCCAGGTTCTTGAGTTCAGATAATCAAATGGATTAGAGACGGCTTTGAAAAGTCCACCCATTGGACTCGAGCCATCCGCAAAAAAGAAAACAAACAAGAGTGAAGTGGCTGCATGCGGACGCCCACTTTCACTTAGGTGTTTGTGTTTGTGCGTCTACATACCAGAGCGCTGGACTGTGGCGCGTATGTGAGAGCAGTAAAGAGAGGCCACATGTTCAGACCCAGGAGAAAAGCTCGTTAGCAAAGACCTAATTGCAAATCATGGGAAATTGAAAATATGTGACATCAAAGTTCCAGTTAGAAACCAGATTTTTAGAATACCCAGAACCCGGTTTCTGTAATGAAAGCACTGGTATAGCTTTCTTGTACAGAATATGCTTGACAGTATGTGTGTATGTATATATGTTAATGTGAGTCTTGTCTTTAGGTGTCTGTCTGTTTTTTTTCAGTTTTTTGTTGATCAAGCTAACGCAAGGAACTAGTTACATAGATCTTATAGTTTTGTTCGGTGGTTTCAAAGTCCGACAGTTTCACACCAGTAGGATACAGGCCTTGGATGCTGAGAGGTCATAAGTTATCGTCGCGGATGCAGACCGATCCTGCAGACCGATCCTGCAGCTTGATTACAGCCGCACGGTGAGAAACACTATAGTACTTTGCACGCGGCTCCTTCTGCACGTGTCACTGTTTGTATTTTCTCTCCGCTGACTTTCCAACCGACTGTTTTGTTAAGAGAAGAAAAGGTCAAATAGCATTGGCTCCTTTCTCTGGATTTTGCTCCACTGTTGTTTTTTTCAGCTGTCGGTTCATGGATCGTGCCTCTAACCATTTTGTATTCCCGCTAACCAGACCTTACTGTTTTTATGATCAACTGGACACAATGAACTTTTAACTGTGTTTTTGTTACTGGAGGCGGAGGAGTGGAAACTCAAGGGGAAATCAATGATGGGAAAATTAACTCTCTGTCAATGTTGAAACCCAGGTTTAAAAACAGTTCCGTTTAGATGTGCATACAACTGAGGGATTTTTAATGTACTGTGATTATTTATGATTTGAATGCCTTGTGTGACTGTCTCTATCTTGTTTTGTTCATTCCTTGTGTATGGATTGGGCTATACAAATAAGCTTGCCTTGCCTCCAAAAACATACATGTAAATACAATACGTTTTGGTTCCAGTTGCAAATTTGACTATGGACTGATTGTCTTTGCCATTCATTTCCAAAGTTTTAAGTTTAATCCCTTATACCAGACTACTCATTAATCTATAATAAGAGTTGAACAATCTCAGATATATTCAAGGTTAGACTGAAAATTGCATCGTATTACAGTAAGTCATGGTGGTGCAGCAGGTCTTGTGCTTCAGGGCGAGAATGTCCTGGGTTCGGATCCACCTCCAGGCCTTTCTGAGTGGGTATTGCATGTTCTCCTTGTATCTGTGTAAGTTTCCTCCAGGTGCTCCGGTTTACCCCTACCACTACAAACAAGTACACTAGGTCTGAATGTTATGTGAATGGATGGTGTTGGTATGATCAGGGGATCCGCTGGGGAGAAAATGGAAAAATACTCAAAAACTCACTCACTAAAACAAGGCAAGGCAAGGCAAGTTTATTTATATAGCACAATTCATACACAAGGCAATTCAAAGTGCTGAACAAAACAAGAAAGCATTAAAATCATAAATAATCACAGAACATTAAAAAGAAAGATACAAATATAAAATCCCTCAGTTGTATGCACAGTTAAACAGAACTGTTTTTAACCTGGTTTTAAACATTGTCAGAGAGGAGGCCTGTCTCACATCTTCAGGAAGACTGTTCCAGATTTTAGCAGCATGAATCTGAAAAGCAGCCTCTCCATGTTTAGTTCTGACTGGCACTAACAGGAGTCCAGTCCCTGTGCTCCTCAGAGTCCGGGCTGGTTCATATGGGACTAACATGTCACTAATATATTTTGGTGCGAGGCCATGGAGAGACTTGTACACAAGCAGAGCTGTTTTAAAGTCTATTCTCTGAGCCACAGGAAGCCAGTGCAGAGACCTGAGGACTGGACTAATGTGGTCGTACTTCCTGGTTCTTGTCAGGACTCGAGCTGCTGCATTTTGAATGTACTGCAGCTGTTTTACAGCCTGTTTGGACAGACCTGTGAGCAGGCCATTGCAGTAGTCTAACCTACTGGAGACAAATGCATGGATAAGAATCTCCAGGTCTGCTTTAGACACTATGTTTTTGATCCTGGCAATGTTTTTTAGATGGTAAAAAGCTGCTGATGTTACTGATTTGATGTGGCTATTAAAATTTAAGTCTGAGTCCAGTATTACCCCTAGATTTCTGACCTTGTTTGAAGGTTTTAGGGAGAGAGACTGTAGGTGACAGATGACGCTCTCTCTTTGTTTCTGGGGACCAAAGACAATCATTTCAGTTTTGTCTGCGTTTAACTGAAGGACTAAATGCAAAACATTTGCGCTTTGTGTGAAATGCATTGGATAATTAAAGATTACTTAATTACTGACTTACTAGGATAGTCGTAAATTTCAAACTTTTTCACTCAAAAAGGCAAGACAATAATCAGGATAATGAACAGAAGGGCACAGTTTGATAATGGGTCTGTAAATATGGCCCATAGCATTCAATTTGCAAATCTGGCCCTCCGAAAGATTTACTCTGGCCCTCAGTCCATGTTGTACAGTTATGCAGCCCAGAGCACACGGCCATCCAAAAACATCAACCCTTGCTGAAATGAAGTTGATAAGCCCTGGCCTATAATATCAGATTTTTACATAAGATTGTCAAAAATTGTTCAGATGTCAAAGAGCTCTATAAGTACGTTTGTGGAATCATTGGACTTCTTTTAAATGAAAAAAATGCTTCAAGGATTTATTTCTAGTTTAGTTTACGATCTTTGTGCAATGGTATTTCACTGTTTGTTTGCAGAATGTTGCACTCTCACAGAGCAACATAAACCTTCCCTCACTTTCACTTTCAGTATCTGTTTCTGTAATTCTATCAGGAAATGTAAACGTGTCTGCTGCCTGCTCTGACGCTCACCGCATGCTTACTTGTATCTGCGACGCACATGTGGCTATTCACCACAATATATCCATCTTCCAGTTGTTTTTTGTTTTGTTCAAGGCCTGAGCTCTCATTTATAACAATAAAGAAGACAAAGGAGTATAATCTCTCATTCATCCAGGTGGATTATTTACTCTGTGTGCTAACAAGGATGAAAAATGCACTGAATGTGACTCATAATGAGGACAAGCAGGCCACAATCAACCTCGGATTTGAACAATAGATCGAGCCAATATCAGGGCAGGGAGGAGTACAACAGGTTAAAAGGACTTGGTAGGGCCAAAGCTTTCCAAAATTCCAGTTCCCAGACAACGCCTTCAGATCAATAATAATTTTGAGGATATATTTCCAGCTATAGAGCTCCAAGCTGATGACTAAGCACACATTCCTGCTTCGGTGTGCTTATGTGAACAGTGCACAGAGAGACGGTTTGAGGAAGTTAAGGGAAATAACTGAAGTTTCCCTTAACTGTGGGACAAAAAAAAGGACTATCTTCTTTAATGGTCCAGGAAGTACTGTACCATGACATGTTTGGCAGCAAAACACAAGCCCAAAAAATGTCACCAGCCTTAAATTAATCCAGCAAGTGTATGTTTCCTCTGATGTACCTTTAAAACAGGCATGTCCAAAATCAGGCCCGCGGGCCAATTACCGCCCTCTGTGCCATTTAATGTGGCCCTCTGCTGCTAACACAAAGTTTCCATTGAGGCACTTTGACAGTTGTACATCTCAGACCCTCTTGAATCCAGTCGTTGGTTTTATTGTCAAAACATTCCAAATAAAATGCAGCTGTGGTGTGAATCAATAAGGACGTATGAATCCGGTCAATCCAGCTAGAATCCAATTTTTTTTAATCCTTGTTGTCGGCCCCAGGTCATGTCAGGTGAACTAAAGTGGCCCTAAGTTTGGACACCCTCGCTTTAAAAGAACGATGCGATGATGCAAAGAAAA